CCTTTAAATAGTATTGCATTGAAAGTTCTTATGTTAAGTTCTTAAACTCTCCATATCCATGAAGAGGTACACAGGTTGTCTACATACCTCTTTTACACCCCTCTTGTACCATTCTCCAGATGAGCTGAACTGCTTTTGTTTCTCTGGTTGTGGTCTCTGGTGTTTTAAAGTAGGTCTTTTTGAAGGATCGATATACCATGGCACTGAAGAAATATACTGAGGAATATGGGGGTTGATGTCTCTGTAATAAAAGTTAAAAAAAATTTTTAAGAATAAAGTTGGAAAATAATCAGTATTACAATTGCAAAGGTAGCTTACACAAAATCTAAGAATAGAAATATTGCAGTGGTAGGGGGAAGAGAATATGGTTGCTATTGCTATACTATAATAAAGAAAAATTAAAAATAAAGAAGAAATTTATTTTAGAGTGAAAATATTTCCAACTAAGAAACTAAGAATAGTGATATAACTGAAGGCAGAGAAGAGAGGAAGGAAAATAGAGATGTGTGTTAGTAATCTAAATCTTCTATCACAAGAAATTTTGGTTCAAATAATGCCTATAATCAATTAATTAAAATAATTGTGTAGGTATTATTATCTAGAGATGTGAAGGTAACAACCAGAAAAACTCAAAATAGAAAGATTTAACAGCAGTCACTCCTGTAGAGCAGGCTGGAGTGGGAAGGGTGAAAAAGCACTGTTGCTATCCATTATAAGCCCTTCAACATAATTTCATTATTAAACCATATGCATATGCGTTTGATAAAACAAATAATAAAAAAAGACATAAATAATGAAGATAGGTTCCTCTCAAATAAAAGGATGAAAAATTAACAAACTAAGTAGACATGAATTTGAATTTTGAATGAATGGATCATACAACAATTAAGTACTTACTTTCCTTCTTCATCAACTTCTGCAGGAGCATTGCCCAATTTTCGTTGTTCTTCTAGCTCCTTCTTCTTTCTCCAGTCCTCTCTGGTCATCTTCTTTGGTTCCTCCAAACTCATTTCTTTGGACCCCGATAGGGGTGCAGCATTAACTGCATCTACAACTGTGGCTGACATGGTTATCTGGCCTCCTCTAAGAAAAGAAGTCAAATTTACAGTAAAAAGTAGGCCTTCATTAGTTCACTCAAACTACCAAAAAGACATCCTAATAATAT